TATAACATTATTACACATTAATCTAACAATTATTTATTTTTAAATATTTACATCAACAATAATATATACAAAACATATATATATATATATATATATAAACAAATATATACAAAATATTTACATTAACAGTCATTATTAGAAAACGGATTTTATGCATTTATGATAAATACAGGTTGATCAAATTTGAATCAGTACAGAAATTAAGAAATTTAAGATTATTTATGCATTATTAATATCTCATTAAACGTACTATTTATTATACAGTATATTGGCAAATTTTTATTTGGAAGTTTCTACTTTGCACAAAGATCCGCAGTCTAGTTATTACTTATTAAGTACAAATTAAGCAACAATTATTTGTTTTAACTCTAGTTTTAACTCTAGATCCAGAATATTTTCTCTGACTTAGAATATCTTCATTTTTTATATATGACTTGATTAATGCATTTTATCCGCGTGAAGTTGAGTCTTCTGATTTATTCGAAAGTTACACTTCAAACGTAATGTAACAATTACATTTGAACGTGACGTAACAAGTGATGACTCATTTCAGCGACGCCTCGGAGCCACGGTAAATACCAATTACGTTCATTTTCGCTTGGAGAGATGTTCGTTCATTGAACAGCCGTATAATTTGCCTGCGACTGAAAAAAAAAGATCGCACTTTCGATCGAAAGAAGTTGCGATACGCCAATGAGAAAACGCGAAGCCGCGGTGGAGAGGTGTTTCTCACCGCCCAATCGCAGCTAAACGATTCCGTTCAAGCCGAGGACGAACGGTTCGAGTAGTATCGTGTTTCTCGGGGACAGATCTCTGACTTTTCTGTAGCGAAATTCGCGTACGTGTGAACGTGGCTTGAGGCACACGGGAGGTTGACTCGCACTACTGGGCAGCTCAAGGCTGCCCGCTCGGTCGCATTCCAACTTTTCCACCAGCGCCACTTCTCCTATGCATCGCTGCAACGTCTGCGTGCACACACGATGCAACGAGTTTCGCGAGACCGTCGAGACGAAACCAGACGAAACGAGACGCGACGCGACGCGACGCAACGCGACTCGACTCGACGCGACCCGACTCGACACGCGGTCGCATTCTCTTTGCTACATTATGTCGCAGCATGTAATCGGCGCATGCACCACCGAGTAGATTGTGTTTCCACGTGTGCAACGGTCTGCAGCGATGGCTTCGACCAAAGTGTATCCAGGTTACATCGATAAATGCAGTTGCACAGCGAATTGCGAAGGATAACGTTTATCATTCAGCGTCGCGGCAGCTCGAAAATATCGCGGGAATTTATTACCCAAAGAAATCCCGATGTGTACACCGCGTTTTAATTACCTATTAATTTGAACTGTGCGCGCGTTAAGGTTTCCCATTGTTCTCCAAATTAGCACAATTATAATACACTTGTCGGCGCTCCTCGTTCCTTTTCGACTTCGTAACTACGGCGAACTAAAGCCCTCGCAGCCGTTTTAAAGGGATCTCGGCGAGTTTTATGGACTCTCATTGCCGATATCGCTAGACTCTTGCAAATGTTTATTTGAGGAACACTGGCCAATGAGAGGCGGGCTCGGTTGCTGCAAGGCGGCCGAAGCTCAGTTCCGCACGTTGGCCCTGCCTCCACGTGTCAGCTGATCTCGCCTCTCATTGGTCACTGTTTTTCGTTGATAACTGGCAAACAAAGCCGCGGATCGCAAGTTACTTCGAATGGCCTCGGAAACCCCTCATTTCTCGGTTTGCGAGTGGGACACCCTGTATTTTCAGAGCACGGTGTTGTAAGAACGATTGGTAGGAATTTGGTGGAAGTTCAGTTTTTGCATACATTGATAGTCTTCATTATAAATAGAATTATATATAAAATATATGATTATATAATAAATTATATTATAATTGTATACAATTATATTGCGTGTGTACAATATTATATATTATAATAGATTATATTATAATATTATATTATAATATTATATTATAATTATATATCATTATATTACGTGTGTACAATATTATATATTATAATAAATTATATATAAAATATATATTATATTTATTTTATATATATATATATATTTTTTATATATATAAAAGAGGATATTCGTTAACAGAGAACGCAAGAAAAGAAAATTCTTTCCGAATCGAAATTTTCGAGAGAGAGAGAGAGAGAGAGAGAGAGAGAGAGAGAGAGAGAGAGAGAGAGAGTATCAAGAAGACAGAACACTCGAAACAAAAATTATTCCGATCACGATCAGAGTGCGCCATGGAGATCCAATCCCACCAATCTTTATGTAGTAAATTTGCAAAATTAACATCGAGTAAGCCTTCTTTCTATCACGCCACGCTCGAATACAATTAATCCTATAAAACCTCAAGTGACCGAGATAAAAATAGCAGTTCACTTGAAATTCGTTGCCTGTACATAATGCGAGGTTCGATAAAATATATTCGATGTCAATCGTTTTACAATCTTTCGCTTAACGATATTTGAAAATTATTCTCTCCGATGCTTCTGGCCAACAAAGCATCGAACACACAATCGTTAACAGAATTTCAATTACGCGAGAATCGCACTCTAAGTCCGCCATCTTGGAAATAAACGGTAGCAAAACGTTCTCCGGGTAACCACCGGGGATCGACTTTTTGCCAAGGCCGACCGCCGGTCGTGCGTCCTTGCTTGACCCGGGCAGACACCGGAGACCGGAATGATTTTGATCAAGTTCGCCTCTGATCTAGTCGAACACGTTCGAACCGGCGTATGCACACACCTGCGCACGATTATGCTCATCCCTGCTACATTATATCGTGCCGCATATATCCTCTGACGCGTGTCTACGTGGATTAAACGTGCGAGAGAGCGCGCGGTCGCTCCGGCACATGTACCCATGTCCGACGTTTCCATGTAGCGGTGGGATACACGGCTAGGCCAGTGTACCCGCGCACACGTGCTATCCTAGGCTATATTATATTATGTATGTGCGTGTGTACCCGCGGACGTATGCCTGGATGGATTACACGGGCATGTGTGAGAGGGACCGGCTCGTATGTGGGAACTGCAACACGCGCGTCTCTCTATGCCGGCGCATATTCATGCCCTCTGTATCGGATAGTGTCACGGCTAATGTGCTTCTTGCCGATTCGCAAAGATACTGTCGCAAAGAGTCCGCGGATTCGTCACCTCCACGCACGATTATACCGATCTCGGGATTTACCTTGCCGATCTTCCCGAATTCGCATCTGCCCCGATGCTGAACCGATTGATTAATTCGCCCGTAGATATCCTCT